AATTAGGCATGGCTTTACCTTTTTTTTTTTTTTTAACTTAAATACATTTTCTTTCTTTCTTTCTTTCTTTTTTTTTTTTCCTCCTTTAAACAGCTCTGGCCTGTAATTCCAGTACCACGTTTAATAGTAGTGGTTAAAGCAAAAATTCTTAGGAAGTGGGCTATTAGTCTGTAACTATTAAGTAAGATGTTTGCTTTATATTTTTATAGATGTTCATTATTATGTTGAGAAATTTTTCACCTGCATTTCCAATAATTAAAATTTCTTTAATTTGTTAAATACTTCTTCTTCATCAATAGACATATTCATGTGTTGTTTGTTTCCTTCGTAGTACATGGATTGATTTGCTTATGTTGAACCACCCTTGCATTCCTGGTATAAACTTCACTCGATCAAGCTGAATAATACCTTTAATATGTGTAGATTCTATTTGATTATATATATATATATATATATATATACACATATATATTTTAATGTGAGGTACAATTCAATATTAGGTATGCAAGTGGTCATTGTACAGGTAAAGTTTGGGCCTCCCTTTGGTCCCCACTTTTCCTGGTTTGAGATCAGGGACTCTTATTAATGTTATGTCCCCCTGCCAGCCCCACTGACAATTTTTGGTTACTGTCAATCCCTTCATTATGTATTATGGTAAATGTTCAGGGTCTGCTTATGAGTGAGAACATGTGGTACACAGTACTTTGTTTCTGTGATAAATCATTGAATATTATAGACTCTAAATGCATCCAAGTTGCTGTGAAGTCCATAATTTTGTTGTTCTTTATGGTTGCATAATATTTCATCATGCATATGTACCATATTTTTTATCCAGTCCAGTTTTGATGGGCAGTGCAGTTGGTTCCATGTGTTTTTGTTTGTTTGTTTTTGTCCTTTTTGAGTTGGAGTCTCATTCTGTAAATCAGGCTGGAGTGCAGTCGTACACTAGTGGCCAACACGGCCTTGACCTGCTGGGCTCAGATGATCCTAATGCCTCAGCCTACCAAGTAGCTGGAACTACAGGAATGCACCACCATGCACAGCTGATTTTTTTATTTATTGTGGAGACGAGGTCTCACATGTTGCTCAGGCTGGTCTTGAATCCCCTGGACTCAGGAATTCCTCTGGCCTCTGCCTCCCAAAGTGCTGGCAATACAGGCATGAGTCACCATGTCCAGCCCGTTTTTGCTATTGTAAATAGTGCTGTAATAAAGATACATGTGCAGCTATCTTTTTTGTAGAGTGATTGAGGATTTATTTTTGCATCTATATTCAGATGGGATATTGGTCTGTAATTTCCAGTTCTTGTGATTTCATTATCTGACTTTAGTATCCAGGTACTTGTAATCTCATAGAATAAATTAGAAAGTGTTTTCTCTTCTTCTATTTATTGGAAGAGTTTGAGATGGATTTTTATTAATTCTTCTTTAAATGATTGGTAGAATTTATCTGTGAAGACAACTGGTCCAAAACTTTTCTTCATTGGAAGAAATCTCATTACTGACTCAATCTCTTTATTTGGTGTAGGTCTATTGAGAGTCTATATTTCTTCTTGAATAAGTTTAGCTAAATTATATGTTTTCAGTTCTACATTGTTTTCCTGGAATACAGTTTTCCATAGTTTGTTCTTACAATCTTTTTAATCTATATAAGGTCAGTGCTAATGTTCCCAGTTTCATTTTTTATTTTTGTTATTTACAGTTTCTTTTTTTCTTTGTCATTATGGCTAATGATTTGTCAAATTAGTAAATGTTTTTAAAAAAACAATTTTGGTGTTATTGATTTTTCTTTATTAGTTTTCTGTTCTCTCATCTGTTTATCTCTGCACTAATCATTTCATTTTAAAAGTATTTCATTTCTTTTGCTAGACTTGGGTCTAGTGTGCTTTTTTTCTAAATTCTTGGAATAAAGTTAGGATATTGATTTCAGATCTTTCTTCTTTAAATGTAGGCATATACATCTACGTCAACATTCTTTTAAAATGCTATAAAAGCAGAAATCAAATAAAAAACTTCAAGAATTTTAAGGTAGGATAATTTGAAGATATTCCTCCAAAACACTGTGCAATACCAAGCTGTTGATATTAAATTTTTAAAGTTGCTTTCATGCTTGAATTATCTGTAAATACATACATTTTATTCAATTTTATAACTTTTTGAGAACAAATTTTTGTTCTAAAAGCAAGAGAGAAATGTGTTACTATCATTATAATTATCATAATTATCGTCATCATTATCATAATTATAACTTATTTAGTCAGTGTCAAATGATGTACACATTGGACTAGACGTGTTATAGCAATAGTTATAAAAGTGACAAAATGGTACGGGACGAAATTCAAAGTATGGTTATGCACATTACAAAAGTTAGAGTTTGAGTGACTTGAATTATTGACTAATGATTTGAAAAATAATAATCATAACGGGATGGAATTTGGTTGTTGAAAGAGTTAAATGCCAAGTTAGGGACTAAATGCTGAATGGAATGAGGTCATTTATTACATGAGGTGTTATTGAAATTTGATCCATATTTCAGGATGTTCACTCAATAAACTTGATTATATAGGTTTGATGCATAAGTTTGTAGCGTTTATCACTGTTTTAAATGGGTTTCATCAAGGACCAATAGTCTTCCTCAATGTGGTAAATCACTCAGATCAGAGAGACTCTCTCTGAAACAACAAAATCATTTTCTTGCCATGCTTTTCCCATGACATTCATTCACCCTGTACATGGCACAAATATTTTGAGCTGCTGCTGCCTTCACTCTTCTTTTTTTCCCACTTGACACGCCATCTTCTTTACTCCACAAATAGCACTTTCTTCAATTCTGCAAAATGCAAGATGTATTTACAAGTACAACATTGTCACTCCAAATGATAAATGATAAACTCCCACTACCACAATTTTGTCATGCCAAAGACAAGTGCTATGAACTTATGCATCATACTAATATTTCTACTTAGAACTGTAATTAGCTATGTACATTATTCATCTGTGGTCAAAGTGTTTATGCTCTACTGAGGCTCTGGTGCACTTTCCTCTGCCATGCTGAAAAAGAAAATTTGAAATTCTGTCAGAGCCTAGTCATTTCATCCAATACAAAAATAAATTCTAAAATTTTACTAATACTCAGTTGTTCTCCTTTAGGGCTATAGTCACTTATCTCATCTCTGCTTCCTCTATTTCTTTGTCAGTGACTATACATTTGCCAAGTCGTTTGAAGAGTAAAAGGCATAAGAAGTTTATGATGCAGTAAAAAAGTCAGTTGCTCTTAGGTATAATCAATGTTCAAAGAGCTTTTACCTATGTTTTCAAAATTCATGGCCTGATGCCCAATTAAGATTACCTAAGAAAGACAGACTATGCCATCACCCAGAATTCTGATTTCTGGTAGACATGCTAAGTCACAAAAACCATCAAAATTACCCTATTACCATGCTCATACTTGGCCACATAGTGACCTCCTATATTGAAGAGGCAGTGTTTAAAATCACTACTTATCCTTTCAAGTTGCCAAGTACCTATCTACAAAAGAAATGCATTATGTAAGTCAATCATCTGTTTATGATTCTCTTATTCAATATGGCAAAGTGCCATTCTGACTCAGAGCCAATTCAGTAGCCAAAGCTTTAGAAAACCACTTGACATGTAAACATATTCAAATTCTCTCATCGTTCAGAACTCTACATTTAAGGAGCAGCTATATATATTCCTGCCATTTTGTAACCTTCAAGCAACAACATGGTACTTTTGTCCTCAGTTTCCTTCATTTATAAAATAAAGGGTTTATACTATATAACATGCTAAATACCTTTAGGGCCTATACACTGATGATCATTCATCTTTCCAGTTTTGCTAAAGCTTTATTGTTGACTATGTCAACTGAAGGAAAGTCAGTGGGAATATCAGCAGTTAATATAAATGAAATTGGTGATTAATTTAGAAATTTCTCCCAGGCATGAACTCCCCCCAATTTATTCTTCATATATTTAGAAACAAAATGATTTAAGAAATCAAAAAATGTTTGTAAATAAATTTTAAGAAATATTACAGGTGGACTGCACTGTCTCAATAAACCCTTGGCAACTGTTTGAGCAGGGATTCACCCTGTACAATAAAAAAACCAAAGTTTTCTTACATACAGTTAATATAGTTTGGACTTTTTCCTTTACAATATTGGTTGAAAAATAGTGAATACTTAGAAGAAATATATTTCAAAGGCATCAGACTTACTGATCATGATTTTTCTCTTGATATCAAAAGAAGTATTACTGGTTTATTTAAAAAGAAAATGGTATGGAATATTACTTAGAGCCTAATTTTGGGAGAAATAAAAGTGCTAATTTTAATTTGAAGACTAGCAGTGAACTGTGTAATTGACAGAAAATAAAAGCATTGGTGAGAGAAAAGACTTTTCCTATGCTCCTTCAAGTAAAGAAACTGGTAGTCTGTGAATTAAACTTGAAAAAAAGATTTAGATAAACGGGGGGGGGGGGAATGTTTAATTGCTTGTGTGCAAGAGCTTACAAAGGAAGTAATTTCTTAACATTTAAAGTTAGAAGTATATATATCTAATTTAGTAGGGAAAAATGAGGGGGTAAGAAAAAGCTTTTATAGTGAGAACAAGTAAGTTTCTTTAAAAAAGACAAATACATTCTTCTGAAAAGCAAACAGGAGATAAGACAGTTGTGATAATGTGTATTTATTCAGGTGTGAGTTGTCTTTCCATCTTCTTTATGTCCATCAAACTTCCCCGGAGAAGGGATTTATGGTAGGTTCACTCTTGGTCTTCTTCTGAGAGTAAAGTCACCCTGAAGAGAAAATGTATGGCAGCCTTGTTTCCCAGAAGTTTCTGGTTGTAGTCAGATGAAGGAAGCTTTCTGAAAAGGCTCTTTTCTGCATCTGGTGAATCTCAAATGTCTTCAACTAAAAATAATCATACCAACTTGAGGGTTCTGTGTGGGTTCCAACATTTCTTCCATTTTGAAATGTCTTGAGAAGTTTTACAAAAAACAAGCCAGGTTAGTTACTGTGAAGGGAAGATCTGGGTTAGAAGATGAGAGGTAGGAGTTCTGCAAAGGGAGAGAAGAACATAAATTAGAACGAGAATGAATAAGCAGAATAACAAATTTGAGCAGATTGCCCTGTATCCCATTGAACCAGTCTTTCAATCCTTAGAATAGATTGGTCCAGAAAATCACTGTGCATCATTTATTTGATAAAGAATATTAACCTTTTCTTTTCTTTCTTTTTTTTTTTGGAGGGGGAGTTATTGTAGAGGTGAGGTCTCACCAAGTTGTCCAGGCTGGTCTTGAACCCCTGGGCTCAGGCAATCCTCTCACCTCGGTCTCCCAGAATGCTGGGATTACAGGCTTGAGCCACTGCACCTGACCAACCTTTTCTTTTTAAAAGTGTTAATTAGACACAATTTGCTCTGTCTGATTTATGTAAAAGCAGCATTGTTTGTTAATGATTGTATAAACTCCTCTTTGTTGGTCATTCAGTGTATCCAGAATGGGACAACTTTGGAATACAACAGAAGCTAAACTGTCAACCTCTGATTGCAGTTCTTCTATAGATTTTATAGAGTTATTTAATCTTCATTCTATTACCTTGGAAACATTTAGGATTATTCTTTATAAATTATAAGTTCCAAAACTTGGGGAAAAGGTAGTCATCACTAAATAGAAGTTGGAGCTGTGATACACAAGTGAGTTTTCTCTGATGTCTCAACGAATGCTTCTTTGTGGTGGTGTCATTTATGTACAAAGGAGCTCAGATTTGTTATTCAACTATTGCTTAAGGTACAGCGCCGGGTAAGGAAGATGCCTGGTATCTGAGTTTACATTGTCTTGACCATATAGGTAGCAACTCTTTATTTACTTCAGTGCCCCACAAAATAAAGAGACCACTGTTATTCATGGATGAGGTGAAAGTGGAAATTGTGATTGCCAAATTGGAGTCAGGTATATTTCACAATCTCTGTCATCAATCATGTTGGCATCTGTACTTCTCCATTTTTCTATGTGTCTCTGTCAGGCTATAAGAGTAAAAGTAAAATAAGTTATGAAGTATTTAATAGAGAAGTCCTGAAGTCTGGCCTTGACAACTATGAAGTTTGGTTTTATCACCTGACCAACTTAATCTAACCTCTTGGTCTATCATATAATATTCGGTATTAAGCAGCTTAATCAGAGGAACAGTGGGTTATTCCAAATCCTCCAAGTGTGGTCCATAAACCAAGAGTGACAAGACAAACGCTTGTTTCACAAAAGTGATCAGACAAATGCTTGTTTCACAAAAGTTAGTAATATAACCACTTATGACATCTATGGAGGTTTTAAAGTTACCATATTTGTAGAATCAATCACGGGTTTCATTACAATGTTGTCTTGGTATCTTACCTTAAAAGTGTCTGGTGCCATTTCTGTTTTCAATGCAAAGAAAAAACATTCCCATCCAACAACTTCACCTGAGAGAAGAATAAAGCTCAAGGTTCCAGGGAGGTTTTTCTAGTGCCAAATCAGTTTACCACAAGGAAAGGTAGAGTGATTTTTGTCTTCCTACTTATGGATATCATAGCATTTTGACATTCATTTTTCCAGTCTAAATCCAGTAGGTGTTTGTGTTAGTTGAAACAAAAACTAGTTAGGTTATTTTTATCATCTAGATGTTTACATGACCTGTAAATCAGATTGATTAGTTAAAATTGTCAGTGTTTGGAAGACTGATGCAGATGTCGTTATTGAATATGTGCTAGAATTGTCAAAAAAAAAAAAGTCATAAGGGTAAATTGTCACAAGACACAATCTGAAAGAGAGTCCATTGTGGAAAACAGAAGGAAGAATAGAACAACCATCTTCAGGCAATCTGTCAATAGATACGACAGGGCAGTTTCTGTTTAAAGCTAAAATGAGATTTTCCAGTACTGTTTCTTTATTTGTTTTAGTAAAGAAGAAGAAAAATTTCAGAGGAATTTAGGTAGAGAGGTAGGTTTTGATTCAAAATATTGGGGGAAACCGTTTACTTTATGGTATCCTCTGCTTTGAGATTCTGTGAGTATATTCTGAAAATCTTCGTTTGTAGTCAACTATAAGACTGGCCTTGCAATTATCCTGAAATTGATGATCTGTGTCTAGCTTGACATGACTTGCATGAATCCAGAAGGGCTTTTTTTTTTCATAACAGTGTAGGTGGTTAGCAGTACTTCATACAGTTTCTCCCAGTAATCTGACAGTGCCTGCTTTCTTCTAAAAATCTTGATGTATACTTGATATTTTGTTAAAAAGAGATGACAAGATTTGCAGGTAGATGAAAAACATGTTGGGGATATGCTAGAAACTTAATAATTAGTTCTTGTAGAGAGCTAGTCATAGTACTTGAGTACTTTCACTCAAGTCCTCATAATGCTCACTCACTTCAGGAATAAAAGGCTTAGAAATGCCAACAGGCATCGAGTTACAACAAATTATTTCAAAAGTTGCTAATCCATGTCTTTTGTTTGGGGTCTTCCCCTTTTTTATAAGTGCCAGGAACAATGTCTCTGGTCATTCATTTTCTTGACATTCTTTCAAGAGTCTTTTTAACGTCTAAATTGTGATGTTCCCCTTTACTTGAGGATTGGGGTTGGTAGAGAGTATAAAATTTTAATGACTAATCCAGAGATTTTGTGAGCAAATGATTTACTTGTGCTGAAAAGTGAGTTTCTTGATCCTATTCAATCCATAAAGTAATGCCCAAATGAAGAATAATCTCAGTCATTAGTATATTATTGTTATAGCATTAGTATGTCTAGTTGGAGAGCATCCAGTTTATCCACTAAACATGCAGACAATCACCAAGTACAGATTGAGTATCCTTTATCCATAATGCTTGGGTAGTAACAGTACTGTTTCAGATTTTGAATTGTTTTGGACTTAGGAATATTTGCATTATACTCACTGATTGAGCATCGCTAATCCAAATGCCCTAAGTTCAAAATATTTTAATGGGCAGTTCCTTTGAGCATCATGCCAACACTTAAAAAGTTTTGTGTTGAGTAAAATTTTGTATTTTCAAATTATGTATACTCAACCTATTGAGAATAGCCTAAAGCTTGAGGTAAATGTATAAAATCCATTGGGAATATTGAAAGGGCAATGTGGGTATTGGAGTATCTTTTGGAGTATACCGGTTATCCTCAGAAATTTGGTTAGATTTACAGGTAATACATCGAAAAGTAACTTCAGATTTACAGGTAATACATCGAAAAGTGTTGGGGGTATATAAGACATATTTTGATTTTGAGACAATTCTTATAGCTAAGGGCAATCAGGTGGAATATACTGGGGACTCTCCATCACCAGGGAGGGGTAATAAAGTAGCAAGATTCAGGGTGTTACAGTAATGCAATACGATGAAAAAATTTATTAATAGGTCCTGTTCCTAAGTAGTCTGCCACCCTGTAAAGGGGTGCCATGTTTTATAAACTTGTAAGAGAACTGACGCAACATGGGGAATATAGAAGTGAATGGAAGAGCCTAATATGAGGGTACTGACTTTCTCACGATAGCAACTGTGTCTACTGCACATAGACACGGAGACATGATTGATATAAGAGATATGTTATATAATTTATTTGAGAGTCAACTGACTGTTCTAGAATACTGACAGAAATCACATTAATTTTATGGCAGTCTAGTTGAAAAGGTTTGCCAAAGTTAGGTAATCCAAGAGCTGAGGATGTGGATAACTTTAATGCTTCAAAGGAGGCCAATATCTCAAGAGTCAGAATAAGGGCTCTGAGCTTGCATCTAAGTGGAAAATCTATAAAGATATGACTAGAGCAGCAAAATTAAGAATCCATTTATGGCAAAAAACCAGCTGTTCCTAACCATTTGTGTAATTGCTTCTTTGTTCTTGGAGATAGATTATCAAAATTGACTGGAGGTATTTTGGGGTGATTTTTAGTGCCCTGAGATATGTAACAATTGTTTAAACCCATTAAAGTTTAGATTTGTTGGCTTTGTGGCCTTGCTGAGTCAGTGTTTTCAGAAGAATTAGGAAGTCCATAAGAGCACACAATATAGCTTGCTTGCAAAGCAGGAGGTTATCAACATATTTGACAAGAGTGGAGCCTTGGGTAAAGGACTCAGTCATCTTTGAGAGCTTGGGATATATTGAGCATGACTATAAAATAATATTGAAGTATGTGAGTCCATTTTAGTTGTCTTTGCTTAAAAAAAAAAAAGAAGAAATTTTGAGACAGGGTGCAATAATATTGGAAAGAAAGTTGAACAGAGGTCAACTACTCTAAACCGGGCCATATCAGTTGGGATTGATGTGGGGTTATGTACTACAGGATAGCAAAAGATCACAAAATGTATAACTCTTAGAATTTGTACAAATCAATAGGTATTATTTCCTCCTGAATCAATTTATTTTTCTTCTTCACTGGCAAAAGCAGTATATTTCAGGGTGAAGAGATAAAAGTAATAACTTATTGCAAAAGAGAATCTAATATAGGTTTGATATCTTATTTTACAGTCCAGAGAGGAGACATTGGGGTACAGATGAAATGGATTTACTTTTTCTCCAGGCAATGAGCACAGGCTCTGCACTTAGTAATAGTCCAGCCTTATTAGCATGTGAGGCCCAAAGACTAATTGTTATATCTTTTAAATCTGAATCCTCTACAGAGGAATTTGAATCAAAATGTGTCTCCATTAGGAATAGTAGAAAGATTGAGGTTTGGTTTGAGGACAAGGAAATAAAGATGCCCTTTTCATTACATTGTATGGTAACATTGAACTTACATAGGTCTCTGCCTAAAAGGCTTGTGGGTGAGAAGTCAGAAACCGAAAAAGTTTGGTGAGTATTAAGAGAGTCTAAGGATATTTGGCTAGCCTGAGAGATGGAAAGTAACAAAGCCTGCCAGAGATTTGAACAACTTGAATGTCATTAGAAGTGCCAGGTAAAGATAAATCCTTTGAACAGAGGGTAGAAAAATTCTATTTATTTTCTTTTAATTTTTTATTTTAAAAATGTGGGGTACAATTCAGGGTTAGGTATATAAATTTTCATTATACAGGTACCCTTGTTGATGAGGTGTGCCCCACCTTCCCTGGCAGTTTCCCGCTACTGCCAATCCTGCCCCACCCCCAGCAGTTTCCCACTACTGCCAATCCGTTTCTTATAGTATTATGATAATTGTTCAAGGTCCTATGAGTGATATGTGATACTCAGTTTTTCTTTCTGCAATGGGTCACGCAGTATTGTAAACTCTAAGTCCATTTAAAAATCTAGTTCCCAATCCTCTATTTTAATTTTAATGGTGGTGTTACCAAAATGCCAGGGGTTCTGTCTAGGTCTCATTTCTCACTGCACCAGAAGACAATCACAGAGACAACAGTATTGCCAAAGAAAAGGGTGATATCAGCTGGGAGAACAAGATATCAGTTTCAAATACATCTTCCACCTTACTAAAATGGTAGGTTTATGCAGCAGGGAATAAATAAAGCTGCATACAGGAAAACAGGATTTAGAGAGGGGTAAGAAAAGAAGAGTTGGTCAACAGGAGGCAGGTGGCCGGTTATGCAGTCATGAAAGATGAGGGGTCCAGCCCCTCACTGTCTGAATCAGATGATCTGGTGAGTTTCAGTTCCTTGCCTGAGAATTCATTTCCTGAGGAAGAAACTCAGATAAGACAAATGTAAATTTCAAGATTTAATGCTGGCTGGATCAATTCCTATATTTATTTAAAAGAAAAAAACATAGACTTTAGTTCTATGGGACAATTGGGGTGGTTTCAATGGGTTCTGGGGTACAAGTGATGACTGAATGATTCTATGAATTGGTGGGGAGAAATTGCCCTGCAGGAGGAGAAAAATGTAACTTTAGGGGGTGCTAATGTCTGGAGTAATCATTATTTAAGTTTTCCTTTCCCTTAAGTTCAAGGTGGCTCTTATATAATGTCCTGCATTTTTACATTATCTACAAGTATCTTGAGATGAGTCAGAGAGGTTTTGCCACTGGTTAAAAAAGATGGGTGGAATTTGAGTTACCCTCAGAGTCATATTTTCGTTTTTGTAAATACTTTATTTATAAAGTGAGAATTATTTAATGTCTTTTTTGCAAGATACTTTCAAAGAATTGAGGAGCACCCTCAATAATATACTATAAGGAGCTAATCTGCCCATCTCATCACATTATTTATGAAATGTTATTTTATGTCAAGAAGAATATTTCCAACAAAAGCAGAAATTAAATGATTTCTATTCTTTGAGTCCACTACATTTAGGGCACTGTGCCTTTGAAATGGTTGTATTAAACATTCCACAATGGATTTAGGGTGTTCCTTTTTGAGTGTGCTTTGGCCCAGTTAACCTTAGGTGGAAAGGCCTTATTTTTAATTTAATTTTATTTTATTTTATTTTGAGTTAGAGTCTCACTCCGTCCCCCAGACTGGAGTGCAGTGGCCACTCCCGGCCACCGTAGCCTCGACCTGCTGGGCTCCAGCGATCCTTCCGCCGCAGCCTTCCGAGTAGCCGGAATTACAGGCACGCGCTACCACGCCCAGCTGATTTTTTTATTTATTGTAGAGATGAGGTCTCACTGCCCAGGCGGATCTCGAACCCGCAGGCTCAGGCAATCCACTCACCTCAGCCTCCCAAAGGCGCGGGATTACAGGCTGAGCCACCAAGCCTGGCTTGGAAAGGCCTTATAATAGTTCCTATTAGGCCCTGAGTATCAATGCCCAAAGGATCATTTGTAGTAGAGCCTAAAAGAGGTCTGGCCATCTGTTTCCCTAGTGAGGAGAATTCTTTTCAGAGGCTACCTGTCTTAACATAAAATTATAGTACAATCATGAATAGGAAGAGCACCTCTTAATAGCCAGTCATGTTTTCTTAGAAGAAGGCCCAGTTTCTATGAGTGGCCTAGTGGACTGAATAGATATTTAGATTCAAAACTGAATGTGAAACTCATCTCTGCTTCTTAGATCTATGTAATCTTAATTCTATGGCTACATAATATTCCATTGTGTATATGTACCACATTTTCTTTATCCAGTCCAACTTCAGTGGACAACATGGTTGGGTCCATGTTTTTGCTATGGTGAATAGAGCTGCAACAAACGTACGTGCACCCGTATCTTTGTTGTAGAATGATTTGAGTTCCTCCGGGTATATTTCCAATAGGGGAATTGCTGGGTCATATGGAAGGTTAATTTCTAGTTCTTTCAGAAGTCGCCACATTGTCTTCCAAAGAGGATGCACTAGTTTGCATTCCCACCAGCAGTGTAGAAGCATTCACTTTTCTCCACATCCTTGCCAGCATCTGTTGTTGTTTGTTTTATTAATTATGGTCATTCTTACTGGGGTTAGGTGGTATCTCAATGTGGTTTTGATTTGCATTTCTCTGATGATGAGTGAGGTTAAGCACTTTTTCATGTGTCTGTTGACTGCCTGTATATCTTCTTCTGAGAAGTGTCTATTCATGTCTTTTGCCCACTTTTTAAAGGACTATAAAGAAAGACAAATATATGGACTTCGCAGCAACTTGGATGGATTTGGAGTTGATCATACTCGGTGATCTACCACAGAAACAAAGAACAGAGTGCCATATGTTCTCACTCATAAGTGGACCATGAACAATTATAATACTACAAGACAGTGTTTGGCAGTAATGGTAAACTGTTGGGGGGCGGGATTGGCAGTTGAGGGAAACTGCTAGGAGACGGAGGGGCATACCTCATCAACAAGGGTACCTGCATAATCAAGGGTTGTATACCTTATCCTGAACTGTACTCCAGATCTTTTTAACAAAAATAATAATATAATAAAATAATAAAACAAAACAACAAAAGAAAAAACATAATCTTAATTCTATATAACCATATATATAGAATGGTTATATATATATAACCATATATATATTGTTTCACATACGGTTGCATATTTAATTTTCTTCTCAGGCTTCAGCAATGTATCTGCAAAAAAATATGTAAAGAGAGCTAACTCATACAGTCACTCAGGTTAAATGAAATAATGTATATTTATCTATGAGCTTTGCTGCAAAAGCCCAAACAACTAAAATGACTTAGAAAAACAAACATGTCTTGTTCATGCTGAAGGAGGACTTCCAATCAGCTATGGCTTCACTAAACATTGCTGGGCTTCATCTTTCCTCAATCTTGTGCTATATTGAATGAGCAGCTATTGAATGACATATGCTTTTTTAAAAGCATGCATATGTTTGTATGCATTTTAATTTTAGATTCAGGGTATACATGTATGTTCGTCACATGGGCATATATTGTGTAGTGATGGGGATTTGGTCTCAGGTTGTCCATTCCCTCATGGTGAAAAGCAGAAGCAACAGAGCTGGAGCTAGCCATATACATTCCTATTGAAGTTGGCATACATCCTGAGTGCTCATATTTTCTGGCCAAAGCAAATCACATGGCTAGATTCAATGAGGCAGGCTTCATTTACATAGAACCATGACAAAAGTAGAAAAAGATTAAGTTGTTGTTAACAAATAGTAAATTCTCTCACAGTCTACATTCCTGCTTACAAATCTTTACTTCGCTCCCACATAAACACATATGTCAATATTCATCCCCTTTGCAAGACATCTCAAAATCTTATCCAATTATTGTATCAGTCTCAAAGTATAGGATTTTGATCTACACACTATTCAGATGCAAGTCCTTTTAGTTTTTTTCCCTATAAAACTAACACAAAATAATAGAATAGTGACATTAAAAAGCACTCCACTTGAAAAGGAAAATAATTATTGGTCTTTAGAAATTCTGAAATCCTACCACACTGGTTAAAATGACTTTCTACCTTGGAATAAGGAATGATGCTAGATTACATACCTGACAGTAACTATCCAGTTCATTGTTTTCTATAGTGTTTTTCTTCTGGGAGGGTGTGTCCTTTTTCTGCTATTCCACATTAAAAGAGATCTTTGAAGAAAATGCTTTCCTCCATCACTGAGTAGATTTTCCAGTCTGCTTCCTGCCTTTAGAAAGTTGGATGTTAAAGGCTTATTTTAAATCTCAGTCACAGTCTCATTTAAATCCAAGCTGCCAGCACTTTAGCACTCCTGTGATTTTATCTATTTGATTAGAGTCACCTTCATGTCACAATAGCCCTACCAATGGTTTCTGAGACATGTTTGTCTTTCTGGACTTATATACATGTCTTTGAAACTTACCACACTTCTGTGAAACATCATTGGACTTTTTGTTTTATTTTGCCCATCTAAAAGTATTTGCTAGGGACATATTAATTCAATTATAGACCTTAATAAAAGGTTTGGAGGTCATATCCCCGATTAAATCTTTGTCCCCTTCTAAAACACATCCCTGGTTTGGACTTTTTCCTAGAACTGTTACATCACTATTCAATTTCCAATGTATATTTCTGTGTATTATTTAACTTTTGTTGGAACAAAAAGCAGTCCAAAATACCAGGAACCTAACATTTTTAAAAAATACTTTTTTGTTCAGTTTATTCAAGTGGGACTCAGCGGGACTCCATTTGTCTTCTCACTTTAGAACCCAGGCTTCAAAATTAATAGCTATCCAGAATATGACATTCTTATGATAGAGAGCAGGAGCAGAAAACGTGAAGAAAAACAACCCAAATGAATTTGTAATGACATACTGTCATGTCTGCTCACATTCAATGAGTCAAAGCATGTCCTATGTCCAAGTCCAAATCAATGAATGTAAAGGTACCTACACTTACCTACAGGAAAGCATAGCAAATGGGGGGGGGTAATTAATGATTGTGAGACACCAAAGCATCTACAACAATGTGCAGGGTAACACATCTAATTGAAGGACAGAGAGCAAGTGTCTAATAAAGGTAGCAATCATTATATCATAATCATTAATCAAGTTTTATTTATTAACACAAATGCGGTATGCATACCACATTCTCATCAATTACACAGTGACTTCCAATCTATTATATAGAAGTTATTAGTAAAATAAGTCATATTAAATCAAACATGATTTGGTTTGGTTTTATTACCAGTACTTTTGTTTGCTGTAAATGAATTAATTTTTAAAGATGTGGCATATCAGAATAAAAACCTGTACTTTTTAATTTAAAGAATAGTATTCAGGTGACTTTTGGTAGTATTTTATTTAAAGAGAATACAATAGAAAGAAGACAGTAATAACTTTAGGATTTTATATAAAGAGTCGGCACCTCCATCCTTAAATGCATCAGTGGTTTCCAAGTTATATTTGTGTTTGAGAGATAAGCCAAATGCCATTACTCTGACCTACAGTGGTTTGTATTTTTAGAAAAGATGAAATAGCCAACACTTGCATTTTTACATCTGCGATATGAACCAATAACCCCATGAAATTGGATGAGCACTAACCTTCTGTAAAAAATGATTAGTACCATTTTTCTAAGATAAAAATAATAAAATATGAAAATATTTGAAGGAGAAGATTTTCTTCTAAGCTGTGAATTAAATTTCTTTGAGAAAATGTTGAAAGCCACACATTTCCCCCAGAAGATAAAAAACTAAGTTGTATTATTTATTATTTTGAACTGAGCAAAAAGCCAAAAATATTACATAATCCCCTGAAAACAATTTGCTCCCTAGAATTTTTTCAATGCTTTTCATTTCTATTTGAAAAGAGAGCAAGAACACAGAGGACGAGTGTGCTAGTTGTGATGTCAGCTACAGAGGAATAAAGCTCATGGGCTGATTTTGAAGTATAGCAGGCATACAAATCAATGCATTCTAAGGATTTTTAAAACCCAGATAAATTCTGTTTTTTTCTGAAGCAATGTATTCTTTTGCTTGAGGCACCAAACACATTACAGCCTTAAATTATTTTCCAAAAAGGATATTTTGGAAGAAATACTCGTGAAATTTAGTAATAAATGTATGCTTGAAATTTTAAGGTTTCTCATCCTCATATACCACTATATGTAGAAATATTTTATAATTTAGATTTCTATCATTAAAATATTAATAAATCCTATAATTTATCACATTTACTATGTAAATATGTTGGTAAGTATGAGATAAATCTTCATTAAAAGTGAAAGGAATCTATGCAATGCTAACTCCTTTCTATTATAGTAGCAGATAATACAATAAAAAATAATAGAGACGTCATAGCCATTATGATTTTAGAAATGTTCATTTCAAGAATTTCTTTGGCCTACTGGCTTATGCAAAAAAATAACTTGGAAAATAATGTGAAGGAACCATGCCGTAAGTCAAGATTATGCTGTAAGTCAAGATTATGAAAAATTACCTCTAGACTCACAATAAACTTGAGAACTATTTAATGAAATTGCAAGTAATAAGTCAATATACTGTATATATTGGCTTTTCCTTAAGAGCCACAGTAAACTATAGACTAATTTATAGTTTAATAAGCACTTAAAATTTCCAATTAAGTAAATACATTTAATTTATTTATGATGATATAACTATAAGCTTAAATGACAAGGATGCTTCTAGAGAAGCCAGCAATATAACTTAAGTCTATTAACTCCAAACTATTCACCTAATGAGAGTTCAGGACTTTATATCCTCTACCTTTTAGTAGCACAAAACTAAGGCCAGTATCTGATTAAAGGGCTGGGAGAAGTCAATCGTATGAAGAGCACAGAAAGCGTTTATGTTCATGGGACTGGTACTTTCACAAGACTTGCCTCAGTAAACTGCTTTTTGGTACTGAAGTTTTTTTTGTGATTAGCTTTACAATGAGCTTGTGATGAATAGCCTTTCACTTAGTTGGGCACTGTGTCCTGGGAAAATTAAAGGGGTACTAGAATGGGACCCAGAAAAAAGAAGTCTTTGGCATCTTTACTGTGTTGCTCTAGACTTTGAAAAGAAAATGTATTTTCCCTTGTATTTCTTCTTTCTTGCCACTGAAATTATAAAATGCTAAAGGTCTTTGGAAAGGAGTCAAAGAAACCAAAAGCAATTCTCCAACTTCTCATGGTTCTAACTGACTCATCAGAGTAGAAGCCTACATAAGGCTTTGTGGGTGGATGGTGAAAAATCTCTTGCAGCACCTCTAGAAGCTAACATTCTCCTAAATGCTAGTCTTCTAGTAACTTCTTTTCCCTCAAGAATGAGGAGTAATCATAAAGATTAGTTTAATAATTGTCCAGAGCCACAGAGTTAAGGATGGAACTTTAGACATGGAGTTTTTATTTTTAAATACCTTTATTATAAAGATGTGTGATACAAGTCAGTGTTAGGTACCTAAGTAGTCTACACGCAGGTAAAGTTTGTGCCTCTATCAGGTCCTCACTTCCCCTGGTTTAGGATCAGGTACCCTTAGTGGTGTTACATTCCCCCCCCCACAGCAGTGTCCCTCTACTGCCTCTACTGTCCCTCTCTTGTAGCATTGTGATAAATGTTCAGGACCCATTTATGATTGAGAACATGTGGTATTCAGTTCTTTGTCTGTGATAGATCACTGAGTATGATGGAGTCTAAATCCATCCAGTTTGCTGCAAAGTCCATCATTTAGACATGAAGTCTTTAAAAACTGAACACTTAGCCGGGCTCAGTGGCTCAGCCTGTAATCCCGCGCCTTTGGGAGGCTGAGGTGAGTGAATTGCCTGAGCCCGCAGGTTCAAGACCCGCCTGGGCAACTTGGCGAGACCTCATCTCTACAATAAATCAAAAAATTAGCTGGGCATGGTAGCGCGCTCTTGTAGTTCCAGCTACTTGGAAGTCTGAGGTGGAAGGACCGCCGGAGCCCAGCAGGTCGAGGTTGCGGTGGCCAGGAGTGGCCACTGCACTCCAGTCTGGGCGACAGAGTGAGACTCCAACTCAAAAAAAAAACCAACAGCAACAAAAAAAACTGAACACTTATCAGAGAAGATAACTCTGTTTTCGGATTTGTATTCTTTGTACTTTCTTCACTCTCTATGTAATCCAGTGTGGAAAGACTGCATGAGACCTGCATGAGACCTTTGGGGGAAGGAAAAAAAAAAAAAAAAAAAAAAAAAAAATATATATATATATATATATATATATATCTCCCATACTAGTGACTTTCTTTCTTTTCATCTGGGTCTGAGAGGTAGAAGAAGGTGGAGCATAGTCATCATCTGCATTGAATTACTCATTATTTGAATTAGCATCTTAAAATTTTGTTTTCTTGGGTGCCTCAATTAATTGCTTTAAGTATTCCTTAAATTTGTCTTCCTTTTTTTCTACTTCTTTTTCATCTTATGCATTTCTAATAGACTTTACTTTAGAGAAGTTTTAAGTTCACAGAAAAATTGAGTAGAAAGTACAAAGAATTCACAAATAATTCCTAACCTCACATTCATAAGCTCCTCAATTATCAATATTCAACTCAAGAGTGATACATTTGTTACCATGGATAAATCTACACTGACATGCTATTATCACACAAAAACCATAGTTTATATAAGGATTCATTTTGGTGTTGTGCAGTATGAGGGGGACCCCCAAAAAACTGGAATTATCTTTTGGATGGTGAGCCCCTTGTAGTACAGGTTCCCCCCACTAGTAAAGTGCTCTAGAAAACCATTGGCATCAGTGTGCCAGCTAAAGTTCTTGTGAGAGACTGCGTATGTCTTCACTTTTTAAAATATATTCTTTCTTTTTATTTTTAAAAATTATTTGCGGATATTCTTTCAATGCATTTACCCATTTCATGATGAATGATTCACAAGTGCACCTGTCCACACCACTCTGAGTGTTCAGCAGTTTTTAATAAAAAATGGCATGATCTCTGTACCCCATCCTTTCTATTTACCCATGCTCAGTCCAAGTGACTTTTCTGTTGTTGTTGTTTCCCTGAATTAAAAAATAAGGCTTAAAAGGAAAACATTTTGCTTATATGGAAGAGGCAAAACAAAAACATTGAAGAAGCACGAAAAGAATCAAAACTGATTAAATCAGAAACTGTTTTGCGCTGTGGAAAAGTGTCAATAGGTGTGCTGCATCAAACAGTGAGTACTTTGAAGGTAACTGAAATTTAAACATGT